ATAAAAATGCACATCACATGGTGGAAGTATTAGACAAACAAAGGGAAAAGCGAGGATTTCCAACTTGCTATGCATGTTAAACAAGGGACCAATTTCATCCATGGGGCAACTCCATTTATTTACATCAGGCATAAATTCAATATGCTAGAGAAGGTGCTCTTTATAACTATCAGGAACAAGTTGATGACATTTTACCACCATATTAAAGAGGGACGGTTCAAGTGATTTTGCTGCTGCTAGAGGAGATCCTCCCTTTCAAGGCATTGCTAAATCATCCCTGGCAGTTTGGATTTACCCGTAGGGTTCAAAAACAGTTGTGTAATACAAATGTTTTGCTTTAACAACACACTTAGAAAATAAACACTGTAAATAAAGGAGTCATGTTCCCACATAACCAAAAGCAGACTGATCTATTTAGATCTCAGCAAATCTAGGTTATTTATCCATACTGATTGAGTTGCTTTCACATTTTACACACACACACACACACACACACACACCCCAATCCTGCATGGAGAACCAAACAGAACTCTATATGCACACAGAGTCCCAGTGATTTCAACATTTCACAACATCCACTTTCACAGGTCCTTTTTACGTTTTTTAAAATCTCTTTTTTATTGCGAGCCTAAGTACAGAGAGCATCCTTTTATCACTGAATATAAAGGGGTACAATTAAAAAGCAAAGATCATCCACTTCCTAGCAGTACCATGTTTATAAGGAAAAATATTGACACCCCATACAATTACAAAAAAAAAGGCAGGGGGAGGCCAAAAATGAAAGTTTCCATGGTAGGGATAATCTATAGTTGCAAGTCCCCGCTTATATTTGTTCCAATAATATTCATCATTTTTATATATGATTTTACTAACAACCTTGAATCCAATCATAAGATCAGGGCCTGAGTAGGCAGACCCTCTACAGCAGGCGTTCTCAACTTTTTCTTTCTGAGGCCCCCCAAACATTCTATTAAGAACTCCACAGCCCACCTATGCCACAATAACTGGTTTTCTGCATATAAAAGCCAGGGCCAGCATTAAGGGGTAGCAAGCAGGGCAATTGCCCAGGGCCCATGCCATAGGGGTCACCATGAAGCTAAGCTGCTCAGGGTCCCAGGCTTCAACCCCGTGCAGTGGGCCTTAGACTTGCTGGGGCCCAGGGTAGAAAGCCAAACACTGGTCATGCTTGGAGGCTGCCCTGAAACCTGCTCACAGCCCCCCAGGGGGCCCCAGACCCATGGTTGAGAACCACTGCTCTACAGCAGCAGTTCTCTAACTGTGGGTCAGGACCCCAAAGTTAGTACCAACCCCATTTTAATGGGGTCACCAGGGCTGACTTAGATTTGCTAGGGCCCAGGGTCGAAGCCCGGGGCCAAAGCCAAAGGGCTTCAGTTCTGGGTGGTAGGGCTCAGGTTCCAGGCAGTCCTGGGGCTTTGGTCCTGCCCAGGGTGGTGGGGCTTGAGCTTTGCCCCACCCCTCCTGAGGCAGGGGGGCTCAGCTAGACTCAGGCTTTGGTCCCTCCTGGGGTCATGTAGTAATTTTTGTTGTCAGAAGAGAGTCATACTGCAATGAAGTTTGAGAACCAAGGCTCTACAGAGACACCAAAGACTATATATGTGGACAGACCCCCCAGGTAGAGAACATTAAAAAAAAAAAAAGGTAACTGAGAAGACAAATTTCAGAGTTGCAGCCATGTTAGTCTGTATTCGCAAAAAGAAAAGGGAGTACTTGTGGCACCTTAGAGACTAACCAATTTATTTGACAGGTTTCAGAGGAACAGTCGTGTTAGTCTGTATTCGCAAAAAGAAAAGGAGTACTTGTAGCACCTTAGAGACTAACCAATTTATTTGAGCATGAGCTTTCGTGAGCTACAGCTCACTTCATCAGATGTATACCGTGGAAACTGCAGCAGACTTTATATATACACAGAGAATATGAAACAATACCTCCTCCCACCCCACTGTCCTGCTGGTAATAGCTTATCTAAAGTGATCATCAGGTGGGCCATTTCCAGCACAAATCCAGGTTTTCTCACCCTCCACCCCCCCACACAAATTCACTCTCCTGCTGGTGCTAGCCCATCCAAAGTGACAACTCTTTACATAATCAAGTCGGGCTATTTCCTGCCTAGATCCAGGTTTTCTCACATCCCTCCCACCCCCATACACACACAAACTCACTCTCCTGCTGGTAATAGCTCATCTAAACTGACCACTCTCCAAGTTTAAATCCAAGTTAAACCAGAACATCGGGGGGGGGGGTAGGAAAAAACAAGAGAAACAGGCTACCTTGCATAATGACTTAGCCACTCCCAGTCTCTATTTAAGCCTAAATTAATAGTATCCAATTTGCAAATGAATTCCAATTCAGCAGTTTCTCGCTGGAGTCTGGATTTGAAGTTTTTTTGTTTTAAGATAGCGACCTTCATGTCTGTGATTGCGTGACCAGAGAGATTGAAGTGTTCTCCGACTGGTTTATGAATGTTATCATTCTTGACATCTGATTTGTGTCCATTTATTCTTTTACGTAGAGACTGTCCAGTTTGACCAATGTACATGGCAGAGGGGCATTGCTGGTACATGATGGCATATATCACATTGGTGGATGTGCAGGTGAACGAGCCTCTGATAGTGTGGCTGATGTTATTAGGCCCTGTGATGGTGTCCCCTGAATAGATATGTGGGCAGAATTGGCAACGGGCTTTGTTGCAAGGATAAGTTCCTGGGTTAGTGGTTCTGTTGTGTGGTATGTGGTTGTTGGTGAGTATTTGCTTCAGGTTGCGGGGCTGTCTGTAGGCAAGGACTGGCCTGTCTCCCAAGACTTGTAAGAGTGTTGGGTCATCCTTTAGGATAGGTTGTAGATCCTTAATAATGCGTTGGAGGGGTTTTAGTTGGGGGCTGAAGGTGACGGCTAGTGGCGTTCTGTTATTTTCTTTGTTAGGCCTGTCCTGTAGTAGGTAACTTCTGGGAACTCTTCTGGCTCTATCAATCTGTTTCTTTACTTCTGTAGGTGGGTATTGTAGTTGTAAGAAAGCTTGACAGAGATCTTGTAGGTGTTTGTCTCTGTCTGAGGGGTTGGAGCAAATGCAGTTGTATCGCAGAGCTTGGCTGTAGACAATGGATCGTGTGGTGTGGTCAGGGTGAAAGCTGGAGGCATGCAGGTAGGAATAGCGGTCAGTAGGTTTCCGCTATAGGGTGGTGTTTATGTGGCCATTGTTTATTAGCACTGTAGTGTCCAGGAAGTGGATCTCTTTATTAATTTATCTGAGAAGACAAAGTGAATAGTCAGTCACTAAAGGCATATAATCACCATGAGTAACATGATGCATATATAATCAAGTGTATTATTTAAAAATAAGACCTCCAGAACTTTTCCTCTCTGCATATGCTTGCCTCCACCCCAGAAAGGGCCTTCCCTTTCGCCTAGCTTTCTCTTCTTCCTCAAAGAGTAGCTAGGCTTCCTTCCCTTCCAGTTCCCCCACTGAACCCCGCAGAGGGTCCGCCCCCCAAAGAGGTCAGAAGGAAATAGATCGTTGTATATTTCTTTGTCAGCCAAAGCGATTAATGACAAACTCATATAATGCAGCCAAAACTTGGGGATTTATGCGAAGGGCTGGCTTCCTTCCCTTCCCTCCCTTCCTCACTCACAAACACAGAGGGCTAATGACAGGTTTCAGAGGAACAGCCGTGTTAGTCTGTATTCGCAAAAAGAAAAGGAGTACTTGTGGCACCTTAGAGACTAACCAATTTATTTGAGCATGAGCTTTGGGCTAGCACCAGCAGGAGAGTGAATTTGTGTGGGGGGTGGAGGGTGAGAAAACCTGGATTTGTGCTGGAAATGGCCCACCTGCTGATCACTTTAGATAAGCTATTACCAGCAGGACAGTGGGGTGGGAGGAGGTATTGTTTCATATTCTCTGTGTGTATATAAAGTCTGCTGCAGTTTCCACGGTACACATCTGATGAAGTGAGCTGTGGCTCACGAAAGCTCATGCTCAAATAAATTGGTTAGTCTCTAAGGTGCCACAAGTACTCCTTTTCTTTTTACAGAGGGCTAAATCCACCGCAACAAACACTCCTCCCACCTACCCAGACTCAAGGGCAGAAACCAGCTCCACCCCAGGCTCAGTGGACAACATCTCTCCGTCCCGCCCCAGAGAGCCACTTTCTGCCGTTCAAAACCCCCCACACTTCGGAACGCTCCAGCTGCATCCGATGAAGCGAGCTGTAGCTCAGGAAAGCTTATGTGCTCAAATAAATTGGTTAGTCTCTAAGGTGCCACAAGTCCTCCTTTTCTTTTCACGCACCCTGAGTGGCTCAGGGCGCAGGGACAGAACGTTGAGACAACCGCCATTTTCGCTCCGCCTCCCCGTTGCTGGTGAGCACAGTAGGCATGCGCAGCGCGCCCGTTGCCCTAATCGTGACGTTTTCATCCGGGGCCTTTCACTCTCCTCCTAGTCCCCGCCCCTCAGCGGAGTAGTGGCCGTTGGAAGATGGCGACTATTGCCGATTTGAAAGCAGGTAATGGCTACCTGCAGGGAGCAGCTGTTCCCGGAGCGCCCGCGCTGTGTGGGAGCCCCTGCCCGCATCGGGGCGGCCTCTGGCGAGAGGCTGGCAGTGGGAGCCGTTGGGGGCAGCGTGTGCGCTTGGCTGGCGTTGCTGGGGAAATCCTTGGAGACAGGGCCCAGGGAGGTCGAGCGGCGCCTCCTCAGCTAGCGCCGGGTGGCCCCGGTTTCGTAAGCGGAGATTCGCTCCCAGCCTGGCCCACTGGGGCTTCGCCCTGCCCCCGGTAGCACAGCGCTCTCTCCCGGCGGGGTGGGGCGTTGCCACACGTGTGGACACAGCCCGCCGTCCACAGCCGCTGGAGGAGCTCTGTGGGCAGCGCCTGTGCTTGAATCGGCTTTCCTCAGCCCCAAGGGCCGACCTAGCCCTAGAGTAGACAAGGCCCCAGGGGTAGGTGTTGAAGGCACTGCTGCGCCCCCTACCCGTTGTTTGTCTTCTCTCTGCTCTGTCTTGCACAGAGTAGTTACCCCTTGTTATAAACACACCTTCTCTTAGCAGTGAGGCTAACGCCAGCGTTGGGCAGGAAAAAGAGGGCAACCAAGTCTGCATTTATAATGGAGAGAAAAAAATAGGATAAAAGCTCCTCACCGTGTTTCCTTTATACATATAGAAACAAACAAGGGCATGGATCTAGTTCTCCCTCCCCCCATCAAAATCTTTGAGTTAAAGGCTGCTTTTTTTCTATATAGAATCATAGACGATTAGGGGTGTAAGAGACCTCAGAAGGTCATCTAGTCCAACCCCCTTGCTCACCACCAACTAAATATAAAGAACATTGAGAAAAAACATCTAACATTTGAAGTTAAGCTTTGTAAAGATGGCACAATAGGTCATGTACTGTATTAAGGGCTTGATCAGGTGGGGGCCCCAGGGGCTATACTATTGGGTGCAAGAGACTGGCAAAGTCATCACAGGCATTGGGACCTAGCCTTAGACTCCAGGAGACACCATTATTATTTCATTAGGATCATCCACTGAGCTTGCCTGGATGGCCTCATACTCCTGAGCTGTAGCTCAGGAAAGCTTATGCTCAAATAAATTTGTTAGTCTCTAAGGTGCCACAAGTACTCCTTTTCTTTTTGCAAATATAGACTAACATGGCTGCTACTCTGAATCCTATTTTAGATTTTTTCTGCACCTATGTTATGATTGACTCAGTTCTTAAATTATGAATATTTAAGACTCCTCCCACCACAGAAACTTACTCATTTCATGGAAGGAGGGGGAGAAAAAAAAAAACAATTGATCTGCCCAGTAATTACCAGCCCTTGCTTCTGGACAGTTTTGGGCACTTCACGTAAATGGCCTTGCTCTGTCTCTTTGCATCTGTACCCAGATGAGAAAATAACGGGTTTGTTTAAGGGCCTCCCTTTTGTCTCTAAACAAATAAAATACTTCAGTGCAAAAGACATGTGGGTCATATAAGCAAAAGTCTTGGATTGTTAGTTCTTTTGTTTTCTGGGGGTGGGCGGTGGGGAAGTTATGTGACAAGGGAAGAGGAGCAGAGTGTTTAACCAAAAAGGAGCAGCATTGGTGCAAAGCAGGACACTGAAGAAGGGACAACATTCTTCAGAATGCAACCTCTAGGGTGGATTTCAACACCTGGGAACTGGAGGAAAAAAGTTGCCATGGCTGCAAGTCATAAAAATACACTAATTGGGAATATTTTCAATAAATTTCTGTACCTCTGGCTAAAAATGAACACCTGCCAAATGTAAATAATGCAACAAAGATGCAAGGTCTGGTTGTCAACATGAAACCTTATGAAAAATGTTACTCAGAAGGCAATGACTTTGAAGGTGTGGACATTTCTGAACAATCTGGATCAACTGGTTAGTAAACTTATTTTTGCACCGTTTATATGGGCTGCCTACCATGTCTTACTGTGCTAATAAATAACTTAGATTGTCATAAGTTTATGTTTTAGGTAGATTACTTATTTTGAAAACAAATATTTTGAAATTCATAATTGGTATGTTTGTTTACTGCTGGATGTGATGGTTAGTACTTATTGGAAGCATCAGCTAGGGTCGGGGGGTGTCAGGCACTTAATACAGAAGGGAAATGTTTTACGAACCCTAGGCCCTCCCACCACACTAGATGCCAGTCCAGTGCCCTATGAGGTCTGGCACCCAGGAGTGTCTTACAGCTGCCCTCCCAGGGCCACTTCCTACCTTCCCTCTATTGATCAAGTTTTCGAGTCTGTACCAAAAAGGTAATAGAAAAAAAAAGGTACTAGGTGCACTTTCAGTCTCTCAGGGCCCAGCAGGTAGGCTCCCCGTTACCAAGAAAAGGCTGCTACACCATCCCTCCTCATGAGTTTCCAGGGCAGCTTCCTTTCCCTGTCTTGTCAGGCCCCTTTCTGAGTTGCCTGGCTTCCTTTTAAGCTTCTCCATCTGGAGCATTATCTACAGGTGTTCCTGAGCAGGGTCATCTAAGCTCAGAGTAGCTCTTTAATGCCTTCATTTTTAGTGCAGTGTTTATATTCCCCTCTCACACTGGACTTCTGAAATGGTTTATCATTCAGTATAATCAAACATCCTATGTGAAGATTTCCTTAGGCATTTGTGAATTTGAAAAAATTTCAAGCTGTTTGGTATGTTGTTACAGATAAGGGTTTAAATAGATTTAGAGTATTTGATTTAATCATTTTCCTTTAAATATGATTTATTCTAAACCTAGTTTTATTAACAGTTGTACAAACAGCTGCAATAGGAAGACTTTCATTTACAATCTTTTTTTAAGCAGTGCACTGAGTAATAGTGAGTGAGTGACTTTTTTTACTGTTTTGTTTCAGGGTCCACTTTAGATATAAGGGGTTATGAAGGTCCATCATCTGCAATGTCTACAACTTCAGAGTCATCTGCTGGCACCTCTAGTAGTGGTATAACTAAACATACGGGCAGTAAATACCTGTATCGACAAAAAGACTCCTTCCAGTAAAGCCATGAATAAATTCATAAATCAGGGCCAGCAAATAAAAGACTCCATAGATGAAATGATTGCTCAGTTCATTTATGCAACAAATTAGCCCTTCCATCTTGTTCAGACCGACCATTTCATTGACATGACCAGGCTACATGCCACCAGGCGGAGCAGACATTGCTGGAAGGTTGCTGCATACAGTGTATCAGAAGGAAATTGAACAGTGTGCAAAAAGCATTGATAGGAAATTTGTTAACCTAAGTCTTGATGAGTGGAGCAATATACACAGTATGCCGTAACATGTGTTTGTGTGGCAACAGAAGATGGTGATGTCTATCTTACAGAAACAGTCAATACATCAGGAAATGCTCATATAGCAGAATACTCAAAAGTAGCAGCAGTAAAAGCTGTAACAAAACAGCAAAAATTCAAGTGTGAAGTACATAACTTGGTCACAGACAGTGATGCAGATGTAGTAAAGATGAGAAGAAATCTAGAAGATAAGGAAGGGAGCCTGTAAACTGTGTAACATGGCTGAAAAGCTCATTTGCTTCACTGAAAAGATCATGAGGATCCAAGCTAATTCTCCCCTAAGATGTAAGATGGAATTCAGTGGTTGACTGTTTTGAGCTATTTATTAAGTACTGGCCTATTCTGATGACGTTTTATGAAGAAAATAATGGCAAAAATGGATGGAACTATTACACCTAAAGTAGTCAACATCGGACTAAAGAGGAATGTAGAAGATATGCTGAAAGTACTGAAACCTATTTTCATAACCTTGGACAAATTGCAGCAGAAAGATTGCTACTGTATTGCTGATGAAGAAGAAATGTGGAAAGAATTCAGACATTGAAGAAATGCCAACAACAAAGTTAAATTGCAGGCCATAAACTAGCAGATGGATAAAGCACCTATGCTACCTCATTTCCTTGCCAATATTCTCAACCCAAACTATGACGGTAGATGCTTAATTGCTGAAAAAGAATATATAGCTATGACATGGGGATCTAATAATCACCCAATCATTCTAACCATAATACATTTCAGGGCTGTTTGCTGCTGTTTTAAAGACAGCCATGCTACTGAACTGGTGGAAATCATAGCTAATCACCTGAAACAGAGCTTATTGAAGTATTAAACCAGCTTTTGACCACAGTAGTCTCTATTGCAGGCACAGAAAATATATTTTCTTCATCTGGACTAATTCATTCAAGGTTGAAAAATTGATTGGGAGTTGAAAAAAAGCAGGAAAACTTGTCTTTTACAGTCTGTGAATAGAGATGAGGAGGGAGGGGTGAGATCTAACAGTTTTAAGTTTGAAGGACAGCCTAAGTAACTTAAAAGGTCTCATTTTCAGGAGACTTAGGCAATTAGGACTTTAAGCTCCAGTCGCTTTCACTTAGGCATATTGGAAAATTTTCCCAAAGCTGACCCAAAATCAGTTTCAGTCACTGACTACAGTTAATACCTGTTTCTTTAATAAATGATTGAGTTGTAAAATGTGAAACATGTTTTGATGAGAACATATCCAAAAACATTTAAGGTTTTAATAAAAAAATAAATTTTATATGCTGTTGTGTAACTCTAGTTTCCAATCTAATGCAGCTTGAGCAAAAAGTTATCTAGTAAATGAGCAAGATATTCACCATTTTCTAACATTCTATAAATGTACAATTAAGAATCTGAAAATTAAGCTATAATTGCATAAATGTATTATAGTGTACCTTCTTAAGTGACAAAAAGATGTAGCAAATCTAGTGTATAGACTATTTAGTTGTAAATCAACATTTTAATTTTTATATGAACCAGTGAGAGTGCACCTTTCTTTAGAAAAATAAAGGAAGTACAAAAAGTTTATTAAAATTGATTTAAATCAAGGCCTTCCACATGGTGATTTAAATAGCTGAAAAAGTAGTATCTAGACTTCAAGGTTGCAGAGAACGGTTTGGAAACACAGATTCTAGTGACCCCAGAAGGCAAATAAATAGACATCATTAAAATATTTCTCAAAATTCATTATTGTTTACCAACATCATGATTAGTTTTGGGCCCTGACTCATGATTTTTGAACACTTGGTTGGCAGCACAATACACAGTATGTATTGCTGACCAGCCAATAGGTAATACCCAAATCAGATACAATGCGAGTATACTCAGGTCTTTCCTATACTAGGAGTTTTGAAATAATTTCTTACTGGTTTTAGCAACATGGGAACCTTCATAGAATCATAGAATAACAGAGTTGGAAGGGACCTCTGGAGGCCATCTAGTCCAACCCCCTGCCCAGAGCAGGACCAATCCCAACTAAATCATCCCAGCCAGGGCTTTGTCAAGCCTGACCTTAAAAACTTCTAAGGAAGGGGATTCCACCACCTCCCTAGGTAACGCATTCCAGTGTTTCACCACCTCCTAGTGAAAAAGTTTTTCCTAATATCCAACCTAAACCTCCCCCACTGGAACTTGAGACCATTACTCCTTGTCCTGTCATCTGCTATCACTGAGAATAGTCTAGATCCATCCTCTTTGGATCCACCTTTCAGGTGGATAAAAGCAGCTATCAAATCCCCCCTCATTCTTCTCTACTGTAGTCTAAACAATCCCAGTTCCCTCAGCCTCTCCTCATAACTCATGTGTTCCAGTCCCCTAATCATTTTTGTTGCCCTTCGCTGGACTCTCGTATACCTGAGCTCCCAGTGGCTGATATTGTTTGTAATTTCATGTTATCGAGCTTTGCTCAGAGATGGTCTCTAATCAGTGCTTAAAAAGCTAGCCACCTTGTCCATGCTTCAGATCCCATGCATTTCTCTTCATAATTAATAATCCTTAACCACCATTCCAAATAGTTTGGACAACTGACTTTTTTTAAATGATTGAGTTACATAAAATGACTGATTCGGGGGGTTAGTATTGAATCATAAGTTTATGACTATATGCAGTAATAGAAATTCTTTTTTATGTATTTAATAGTACTAAAGGACACGTTGGAAAAGAGAGGTGCACTGGGACAAATAAAAGCAAGAATCAGAGCTGAAGTTTTTAATGCGTTGGATGACCAAAGTGAACCACGGCCACCACTGTCTCATGAAAATCTTCTAATCAATGAGCTAATTCGTGAATACTTGGAATACAATAAATATAAATACACTGCATCTGTTCTAACAGCAGGTATCGGGTTGGCTTACTGACTTCAACTGCTTTAGTTACAATCTCTATTTTAATGTATAATAGGTGGATTAGCTCAATAAATCTGATCGTATTACATAATGATGACATAAGTCAGAAAATCTTCAGGGTTATGTGTGTACCCTTTCCCTTTCTCACCCCCCCTTCCCCTCAGCTTGTCTTTTGAAGGTTAATGAAGATAAATAAAGTGTAAGCGTCTCTCTTTTCCCTCAGACATCAGGCTAAATAATGGCATTAGTCTCTGAGAAGTGTCTATTTCCCAGGCTCCTTATCATAAGGTAAATCCTTTGATGTAGCAACTGATGCACAGGAGAGGATGGCTTTTTAAGGCAAAAATTAACAGTCTGCAATAGCAGGTGGAGAAACATTCTTGCCAGTTAAGCCCAATCCCATGTGACGCACATATAGTATATGGAATGCAAACTGCCACCACTGAAATGTCCAAATATTTTCTGAAATGGGAATCAGAGTAGCAGCCATGTTAGTCTGTGACCACAAAAAGAACAGGAATACTTGTGGCACCTTAGAGACTAACAAATTTATTAGAGCATAAGCTTTCGGGGGCTACAGCCCACTTCATCGGTTGCATAGAATGAAACATATAGTAAGGAGAGAGGGGGACACACACACACAGAAGGTGGAAGTTGCCGTACAAACTGTGAGAGGCTAATTAGTTAAGATGAGCTATTATCAGCAGGAGAAAAAACTTTTGTAGTGATAATCAAGATTGCCCATTTAGACAGTTGACAAGAAGGTGTGAGTATACTGAACATGGGGAAATAGATTAAATATGTGTAATGACCCAGCCACTCCCAGTCTCTATTCAAACCCAAGTTAATGGTATCCAGTTTGCATATTAATCCAAGCTCAGCAATTTCTCGTTGGAGTCTGTTTTTGAAGCTTTTCTGTTGCAAAATTGCCACCCTTAAGTCTTTTACTGAGTGGCCAGAGAGGTTGAAGTGTTCTCCTACCGGTCTTTGAATGTTATGATTCCGGATAAAGGAAAGGAGTACTTGTGGCACCTTAGAGACTAACCAATTTATTTGAGCATGAGCTTTCGTGAGCTACAGGTATTGTTTCATGGTCTCTGTGTATATAATGTCTTCTGCAGTTTCCACGGTATGCATCCGATGAAGTGAGCTGTAGCTCACGAAAGCTCATGCTCAAATAAATTGGTTAGTCTCTAAGGTGCCACAAGTACTCCTTTTCTTTTTGCGAATACAGACTGACACGGCTGTTACTCTGAAACCAGTGATTCCGGATGTCAGATTTGTGTCCATTTGTTCTTTTGCATAGAGACTGTCTGGTTGGCCAGTGTACATGGCAGAGGGGCATTCTGGCACATGATGGCATATATCACATTGGTAGATGTGTAGGTGAACGAGCTCCTGATGATGTGACTAATGTGATTAGGTCCTATGATGGTGTCCCCTGAATAGATATGTGGGCGGAGTTGGCATTGGGCTTTGTTGCAAGGATAGATTCCTGGGTTAATGTTTTTGTTGTGTGGTTGCTGGAGAGTATTTGCTTCAGGTTGGGGGGCTGTCTGTAAGCGAGGACTGGTCTGTCTCCCAAGATCTGTGAGAGTGAGGGATCATTTTTCAGGATAGGTTGTAGATCCTTGACGATGCATTGGAGAGGTTTTAGTTGGGGGCTGAAGGTGACAGCTAGTGGCGTTCCGTTATTTTCTTTGTTGGGCTTGTCCTGTAGTAGGTGACTTCTGGGTACTCTTCTGGCTCAGTCAATCTGTTTCTTCACTTCAGCAGGTGGGTATTATAGTTTTAAGAATGCTTGACAGAGATCTTGTAGGTGTTTGTCTCTGTCTGAGGGGTTGGAGCAAATGCAGTTGTATCTTAGAGCTTGGCTGTAGACAATGGATCGTGTGGTGTGTCCTGGATGGAAGCTGGAGGCATGTAGGTCAGTATAGCGGTCAGTAGGTTTCCAGTATAGGGTGGTGTTTATGTGACCATCGCTTTTTAGCAGTCGTGTCCAGGAAGTGGATCTCTCATGTGGACTGGTCCAGGCTGAGGTTGATGGTGGGATGGAAATTGTTGAAATCATGGTGGAATTCCTCCAGACTGGGAGTGGCTGGGTCATTACACATATTGAATCTATTTCCCCATATTAAGTATCCTTACACCTTCTTGTCAACTGTCTAAATGGGCCATCTTGATTATCGCTACAAAAGTTTTTTTCTCCTGCTGATAATAGCTCATCTTAATTAATTAGCATCTTACAGAGAAGGTGGAAGTTGCCATACAAACTGTATGGGGGTGGGTGGGTGTGTGTGTGTATCTATATATAAAAAATATCTTCTTACTATACGTTCCATTCTACGCATGTGATGAAGTGGGCTGTAGCCCACAAAAACTTATGCTCCAATAAATTTGTTAGTCTCTAAGGTGCCACAAGTACTCTTTTTTTTTTTTAAATGAGAATGAGTATTGTAAAGCATACAGTCCCATTTATATTTCCATTTCCCATCAAGTCAAGTGCCAAGTGGAAATATAAATGAAGGATGAAAATTCAGGTGTCAACAAATGATTCCAAACTATATTAGCACTCCAAATGAGGTGGAGGACGGTCTTATGTCTTGGAGTACTATGAATACACTATCTAATTGCACCCAAGGCTTGGTTAGCGGATACTCAGTAAAACGTAGGATTGAGGGTAAAAAGGAGTAATCCGGTGTTTGAACAACTACACCTATGCTTTAATGCTATTGGTTATATTTCAAATATTAGAATGATAGTTATATTATTTAATTGCACTGTTCATAAAATAAAACTGTCCTACATATTTATACATATTTGAAATTGGTATTATTGCTGCTGTTGCCTGTTTGAAATGTAGTATGAAAAAGACATGTAACATGCTCTAATTGTGCTGAGCAATAATATTTAAACTGGAAAGATGCAATCATTAGATTGAAAATAGTTGAGTGAAGCAATATGAAAGATGTTCAAGTAAGGAGCTAATGTAAACAAAAAAAAAACGAACAAAACAAAGATTAGCAAACTTTTAGTTTAGTTATTTAAGAACTTTGGGAAAATGTTTAAAATATTTTACTTTTCAGAATCTGGTCAACCTGAAGTACCATTGGATAGACAATTTCTTGTCCATGAGCTGAATATAATGGAAGATCCAAATAGAAGATCAGTGTAAGTAGCTTTGAAATCACAGTGCACTGTATTCAATATTTGTGCCACATTTTCTATGCCTGCTGTAATATTTGTTTAAGACCCATGTAAATGCTATTTACAGTCTTAAGTCTTGGGGAACGTGCAAATTTTCTTTGGAGGAACTGACCTGCTCCAAGGGTGTAATTCTGCTTTGCACAAGCATGTTACCAATTTATGTAGTAACTTATACACAGTTAGCATCTGAAATACATATGCTGAACTGTTCTACCTGGTTTGTGAAAGTCTCCAAACTGCGCATTAGGACCACAAAATGCAAGCCTCAGACGCTACTCTTTAGAGATCTGTTCGCTGTGATTTTCCGCACATCTTTCAACTGACTCCAAAGTCAGTTGTAAAATTGTGCTTTGAGATGTCCATGTGAATTTGTGTGGTGCTCTTTGGCATGACATTCATAAACCAATGAAATGATTACCAATACAGAAACAGTTACTAATTTTGACAAATATGAATAAAGAATCAAAGGATAATTTTTTACTTACCCTGATTTAGGACATCCTGTATGAGGGAAGATGATCAAATAGGATTGCTTTTTACAAAATTAGAGGAATGTGTTTTAGGTTTATTTGTTTACAAACAGAAGGAAAAAGAGCATTAGCTGTGACAGTTTTAAGCTAAATAATTTTGAGACAGGAATTATAAACCTTGAGTTAAAAACACAATGTTTGGGAAATAGTTATGCTGAAGAGTGAAGACATCTGTCTGTCTGCATTCTGGGAACCAATACTGAGGACTAAATGGCCTTTTCCTGTTCCCGGACTCTTTATGTTCTTTGAAATTAAAAAAGGGGGGAAGGGGGGATTCTTATGCTCAGCACTTTACATTCTGTGTACACTATTTTTTTTTCTCTTAATAGCCCTCTCTTGTATGGAATTATAGCTCATTTTTTACATGGTAGTAAAGGAGACATCCATGATACGTTTCCAAAAGGATCTTCACTGCAGTTTCCAGGACAGAACCTCAGCAAACTACCTAATGAAAGAAATCGAAAGGGTGTGTATGTCTTAATCTCCAGCTTGGTTTCCCTCAGGAGTTTTTAGGTCCTACAAGAAGAGCCAGCACTGTGCCCTCTGCCCACCACTGACTCTGCTCTGATCCGTTCTCGTGCTTCAAAAGGGCGTAGTTTAGCACAGTTATTAGAGAGAGTTCTCCATTCCAGATAATCTGGTATTGTCAAGTAGAACTTGACCACTATTCCCCCCACCTCCCATGCCCTGTTTTGAGCTTGACATGGAGGTTTCATAGAACAAAGATGCTAACAGTTGGGAACAGTCATTGCCATAGATCCATAGGTGTTTTGCATGTAAAAGTGAATTCACAAGCTAGATCTCTATAGTCAAAAGTTTGCCTAGTCCATATTAAGTTATTTCTCTAGTTGATTTATACGCATGTATGAAGTTATCAAGAACATGAAAGTGGAACACATCAGAATGCAAAATAAAATTCACTTGGTGTATAACCTCTTCTATGCAAAGAATGCATAAAGGCTGAGATTTGTTTTTCCAGTTTTTCTTGTGGTGATTGTTTTTGATAGAACTATTAATATTTTCAAAACTTGTTGGCTAATCATATTAAGATCCAGGGCTGCAGCATATATCCTGCTACAAAGTGCTACATTAATACTAGATGTAGCTGTATGTACATGAAAGAAATCTTTGCTCATACATACCATAGCTAATTTTATGAAGCAAGAATCCTTCACTTCTGAAAGTGTCTAATGGATCTCTTTTAAAAATGAAGTATTCGTACACATTACCTTGTAACATCTAGGTAGGAGAAAAACATACATTTCTGACTTACCAAGACCAAACACACTGGAAAGCAGATGTGAAAACTGTTCACAGATCTTGTTTTTGCCATCAAATGTCTTGATAGTTAGAATTTTCATCTGAAATGGGAATGAATGTTATCTAGAAAACAGACATTTTTAAAATTGCACACAGTGAAGTTAAATATACAGCCTTATTTTAAGTATTAGGTAGCTAATATAACGCCAATATTTGAAAAGGGCTCTAGAGGTGATCCTGGCAATTACAGACCGGTAAGTCTAAAGTCAGTACCGGGCAAATTAGTTGAAACAATAGTAAAGAATAAAATTGTCAGACACATAGAAGAACGAAAAGGAATACTTGTGGCACCTTAGAGACTAACAAATTTATCTGAGCATAAGCTGTAGCTCACGAAAGCTTATGCTCAAATAAATTTGTTAGTCTCTAAGGTACTACAAGTACTCCTTTTCTTTTTGTGAATACAGACTAACACGGCTGCTACTCTGAAACATAGAAGAACATAAATTGTTGTGCAAAAGTCAACATGGTTCCTGTAAAGAGAGATCATGTCTTACTAATCTATTAGAGTTCTTTGAGGGGGTCAACAAACATGTGGACAAGGGAGATCCAGTGGACATAGTGCACTTAGATTTCCAGAAAGCCTTTGACAAGGTCCCTCACTAAAGGCTCTTACGTAAATTAAGTTGTCATGGGATAAGAGGGAAGATCCTTTCATGGACTGAGACCTGGTTAAAAGACAGGGAACAAAGGGTAGGAATAAATGGTAAATTTTCAGAATGGAGAGAGGTAACTAGTGGTATTCCCCAAGGGTCAGTTCTAGGACCAATCCTATTCAACTTATTCATAAATGATCTGGAGAAAGGGGTAAACAGTGAGGTGGCAAAGTTTGCAGATGATACTAAACTGCTCAAGATAGTTAAGACCAAAGCAGACTGTGAAGAACTCCAAAAAGATGTCACAAAACTAAGTGATTGGGCAACAAAATGGCAAATGAAATGTAATGTGGATAAATGTAAAGTAATGCACACTGGAAAAAATAACCCCAACTATACATACAATATGATGGGGGCTAATTTAGTGACAACTAATCAGGAGAAAGCTCTTGGAGTCATCGTGGATAGTTCTCTGAAGATGTCCACGCAGTGTGCAGCGGCAGTCAAAAAAGAAAATGAGATGTTTGGAATCATTAAAAAAGGGATAACGAATGAGAGGGAGAATATCTTATTGCCCTTATATAAATCCATGGTACACCCTTTCTTGAATACTGCGTACAGATGTGGTCTCCTCATCTTAAAAAAGATATACTGGCATTAGAAAAGGTTCAGAAAAGGGCAACTAAAATAATTAGGGGTTTGGAACGGGTCCCATATGAGGAGAGATTAGAGAGGCTAGGACTTTTCAGCTTGGAAAAGAGGAGACTAAGGGGGGATATGAAAGAGGTATATAAAATCAGGAGTGATGTGGAGAAAGTGAATAAGAAAAAGTTATTTACTTGTTGCCATAATATAAGAACTGGGGCCACCAAATCAAATTAATGGGTAGTAGGTTTAAAACAAATAAAAGGAAGTTCTTCTTCACTCAGCGCACAGTCAATCTGTGGAACTCCTTGCCTGAAGAGGTTATGAAGGCTAGGACTATAACGGGGTTTAGAAGAGAACTGTATAAATTCATGGAGGTTAAGTCCATTAGTGGCTATTAGCCAGGATGGGTAAGGAATGGTGTGCCTAGCCTCTGTTTGTCAGTGGGTGGAGATGGATGGCAGGAGAGAGATCACTAGATCATTACCTGTTAGGTGCCCCAGAGGGAGCGAACCTGGCATTGGCCACTGTCAGTAGACAGGATACTGAGCTGGATGGACCTTTGGTCTGACCCAGTATGGCCTTTCTTATATTAAGTATTGCTGAGCATGCTGCGGTTTCTATTGTCTTCAGTGATAGCTGCAAGTAGCCAGGACAACTGAAACACACGAGTTACGTTTTTTTTTACTGCCTATGAAAATTTTAAGAAAGTTACAAACACTTGAACCTCATTAACAAGAGACAGATGAGTTATTCTGGTTGGTAGATAGTAGGAAAAGAGTTATGTACAATTTTTCCTGTAATTTTAGAAGTCAGGATTTGCTGACGCTGAAGATTACTGGTGTTACTGATTTTGCATTGAGAATCAGTAAATCCCAACTCCCAGTGCCAAAATGTCACCCACAACCTTTTTCCAATTTTGCTTCTGAGGAAAAGGCCCCAATTCCACTTTGTCACACAACTATAAATCTGGAATAGTTCTACTAGCATCAGTTGAATTACTTCAAGTTTACGCTGGAATAAGTAGGAGCAAACTTTATCCCAAACTCTCAAAGGGTTGGGGGTGCTTACACATGAATATATATTTTTATGCAAAGACATTACTTGTACGTTCTGATCAAAATATTTCCAGTAGAAAGTTCTCATTAGTTCAGGCATCTTTCTTTAAGTTTAATTTACTCCTTTAGGCCTAAACACCCAATTCCCTCTAAGGGCCTGATCCAAAGCCCATTGAGATCAGTGGGAGTTTTTCCCCTGACTTCAGTCATCTTTAGATCAGGCCATAACTGATCATGCCATGTTATACTGTAATATGACAGTATTTACTTTCCTGTTTGTTTCTAGCCACTTTGGCCAGGTCCACACAGGTATTTAATCTCCTAACTTTCACTGAAATCAGTGGAAGTTGGGGCCTAAACACTTGTGGATCTGAGCCTTTCTGCCCACCTGCTACTGATTCTGACTAGATACAGTGTATTTTCCCCCTTAGTGTTTTATGCACAAGGGAGTGAAAGGGACAGTTGTTCCCTGATTTTTTTCCTTGGATAAAATCCACTCTGCCATGTTTTATTTCACTTATGTGTTCGTTGAGATTTGATACTTTCCCTTAATTGTAAATCCTGAAAATCCTACTGAAGATTGAAATGTTTTATTCTCTTACATTATCTACAGATAAAAAACATTGTATACAGGCTGTATTTTTATATATAGATTTATTTCTTATGTAGGGGTGTCAAAATGGGAGGCAGTGACAGTTAGTTTCCTTTCTGCCACAAGAGGGTTCTAAAGCAGCAACACTCAGTACAGAAGCTGGGCTTCTCAATAAGTAACTAGTTTCTATTTTAGTTACATCTCTTTCTGTGCAGTATTATCTCTACGTGTTTACGTTCAGTGTTGTGCTGGTTAGTTTAAACAACTCTGACTTTAGTCATCAGTCTTGCACTTGACTCTGCTCCAGAGCTCCTATGCAGAGCTCATTGATTTCAGTGAGACTCCACACCAGGAGTCAATTACAGGATGGGGTATTAGTAGTTAGACATTACTACCTCTTTATGTAGGAATGATAACTGTAGAAGAATATCTTAACATTTTCATAGAGGAAGCTTTTGTCTTTAGCTTTAGCCTGTTTGTATTGTGAAGAAGCTGATGTGCAAAACGCAGCTGAGGAGCCCACAAAAAGCAATTGTTTTAAGATACCAGATGTCTGATTAATTCTTCAGTAAGTCTTACTATGAAGAAGCAAAATCAGTCCAGTAGAATAAATAAGTCATCTTGAGAAAACAAATATTTCAGCATTCTGGAATCTGTTTTCCCTTTCTGTATAAATAGAACTCTTAATGAGTCATATATGCTAAACAATGGAAGAGCAGACGTTTATTTTTCATGTTAGAAATGTTGTTCTTCATGTTGTCCTGTGAGTGTTCTAGTATACTTTTGAGCATGATACATCATGATGGGGGTCCTGCTATATACTGTAATTTACAGTATGTTACAATATATAAATCCAGTACGTTCAATATGTACAAGTTGAAGGTGCGTCCGAGAACTGTAAGAAGACTGAAAGCTCATTCTATTAATACTTATTCAAAAAGTTATAGCTGTATAGACAAATTTATGGTGCATAACTGCTAATGCAAAAACTGACATGGATGAGCTTCCTAGGCTCGTCCGGTCTTAAAATGTTCTGTGTACTGAGGTTCAGATTACTAAATTTTGTTGACAATGACATTTACATAGAAATGTCTCCCCTGACTCTGCAGATGCATAAATACTTATACTACATCTTTTATTAATTTTCAGATTCAATTCCAGAACCAGGGAGAATGGCCGGCACTAGCATTGAAGATCCCCTAATTTTACAGGGTGTAAACAGATGACAATTCAGTTTTTTGTCCATTTTTCATTTAAACAATGAAGACTGGATCCTGCAAACCCTTATTCACATGAATAGTTCTTGCTTACGTAAGTTGTCCCTTTGGCTTTGGTGGGACTTCTTGAATGAGTAAAGGCTACTCATAAATCAGACTCTGTAGGATGAGGCCCACAATAATTTATTGCTGGAAGAGCAAAGTTAGCTCAGGGCCTGTTCCTGCTATGCAAGAAGGGGCCCAAAATGTTTTCATCTACAAAAATAAGAATTTTCAGGAGTATTTATTCTATTCCAGAACTCACTATTGAACTCAATCTTTACTCTCATTACTTTACACTACTTTTTCTGCACCTGTGAAATTACTATTACTGTACATGTGAATAAAAGCTAACTTCATTTTCTGTTTTACTTTATGCTGCATTTGACTTGCAAGGGTGTAAACTTAATATTTTAAGCATTATTTGATAAGTGGCAGCCTCACCACTTCCTACAGATAATCAGTGGAAAATTAACTATGAAAACAGAACTAAAATGCCTGACAGAATGTTTGACTTTTTTACTTCTCTGGAAGCCACAACTATATTTATCTTCATGCTATTGAACAACTATTGTCAAGTCTTCTTTTCCAGTAGGAGTTATTATAAATTGTATGGAATTAGTATCAAGCACACAAATGGGAGGACTGTAAGGCCTATTTTTTTCCTAAGCAGCTTAAGAATCAAAATTAGAGGAAGTTAAAACTACAGCTACATAGTGAACCACCAGTTCCCAGAAAATTCATTCATTTTCCCCAGGTACTTAAATTTCCAAACATAAGTAACTGAGTTTGAAAGGCATGTGTCTGTGTAAGCAGGCCTCAAGTTTGATTTAACAGAATTAATAAGTGTATTTAAATAAAACTCCCAATGGCATCAATAGGAGGTTTGCCCGAGTAAAGGTTGTAGATTTGGATCCTAACTGCATTTTTTTTTCCTTTATCTTGGTGTAGCCTGAGGCGGACCTATGGTATAAAGTTAGGTTGGCTTGACTATGTCACTGAGGGCTGTGTGAAATTTCCACACCCTATGCAATGTATTTAAGCCAACCTGCACTCCATTGTAACCACCATTAGGTCAATGGAAGAATTTTTCCATTGACCTAGATACTTACCTCACAGAGAGATGGATTTACTACAGCGACGAAGAACCTCTTCCGTTGTTGTAGGGAGTGTCTGTGCCAGCAGCTATGCTGCTGTAGCATTTCCTGGGTGGACATACCCTAAGTGTATGTGAAGAGAGGGGAGATAAGGTAAAATAGCAGCACAGGTAACTTTTGATTTAGTAAGCTCTCAAGGAGAGGACTGTCTTCTCATTTGTGTTCGTACACTTCCCAACAAAATTGTGCCTTGATCCTGATTAGAACCTGTGGGCATTTATATTAAAAAGTGTTCTTTTGATTAGAACATAAAAATGGCCATATTGGGTCAGCCCAATAATCCATATTTAGCCCAGTATTCGGTCTTCTGACAGTAGCCAATACCAGGTGCTTCAGAGGGAGTGAATAGAAAAGGCAATCAGTGTGATCCGTCCCCTGTTGTCCACTCCCAGCTTCTGGCAGTCAGTGGGTAGGGACACCCAGAGCGTGAGTTGCATCCCTGACCATCTTGGCTAATAACTACCAATGGACCTATCCTCCATGAATTTACCTAATTCTTTTTTAAATCTCGTTGTACTTTTGGCCTTCACAGTGTCCCCTGGCAAGGAGTGCCACAAGTTGACTGTGCGTTGTATGAAGTAGTACTTCCTTTTGTTTGTTTCAAACCTGCGGCCTATTAATTCATTGGGTGATCCCTGGTTTCTGTGTTATGTGAGAAGTAAATAACATTTCCTTATTTACTTTCTCCACACCAGTCATGATTTTATAGACCTCTATCATATCCCCCCATAGTCATCTTTTTTCCAGAGTGAACAGTCCCAGCCTTTCTTCTCTCTCCTCAAATGGGAAGCTGTTTCATTTTTGTTGCCCTTCTCTCTACCTTTTCCAATTCCAATACATCTTTTTTGAGATGGCGCTACCTGAACTGCACACAGTATTTAAAGTGTGGGTGTACCATGGATTTCTGTAGTGGCATTATGATATTTATGGTCTTATTATCTATCCCTTTCTTAATGGTTCCTAACATTGTTTGCTTTGTTGACTCCGGTTGCACATTCAGCAGATGCTTTTAGAGAACTATCCACAGTGACTCCAAGATCTTTCTTGAGTGGTAGCAGCTAATGATACCATCATTTTACGTGTATTACTTGGCATTTATCAACATTGAATTTAATCTACCATTTTGTTGCCTAGTCACCCACTTTCAGGTGGTGATCATGAGATCTCTTTGTAACTCTTCATAGTCTACTTTGGACTTAACTGTCTTCAGTAATTTTGTATCATCTACAATCTTTGCCACCTCACTGTTTACTCTTTTTTCCCAGATCGTTTATGAATGTGTTGAATAGCACTGGGCCCTGTACACATTCTTGGGGGACACCTCTCTTTACCTCTCTCCATTCTAAAAATGGAGGATTTATTTCTAGCCTTTGTTTCCTGTCTTAACCATTTACTAATCCATGCGAGGACCTTCTCTCTCATCCCATGACTGCTTGCTTTGGTTAAAAACCTTTGGTGAGGGACCTTGTCATAGACCTTCTGAAAGTCCAAGTACACTATATCCACTGGTTCACCCTTGTGCACATAGGTTGACCCCCCTTTTAGGAATTCTAATAGATTGGTGAGGCATGATTTCCATTTTAAAAAGCCAAAAAGTTAACTCTTCTCCAACAAATCATGTACATCTATGCATCTGATAATTCTGTTCTTTACTATAGTTTCAATCAGTTTGCCTGGTACTTAAGTTAGGCGTACTGGCCTGTAATTGCAGGTTCGCCTCTGGAGCCTTTTTTAAAAAAAAAAAATGGCATCACATTAGCTATCCTCCAGTCATCTGGTACAGAGTCTGATTTAAGTGATAGGTTACATACCACAGTTAGTAGTTCTGCAATTTCATATTTGAGTTCCTTCAGAACTCAGAAGACATTACTAGGATATAATATCGTGACCTGTAATGTGAAACCACAGTCATGAAGGATAATTACAGGTTTAAAGAGGAGAGGATTGTCAATAAAATAGATGCCCTATGTCCCTGATTTTATAACATATCAATTATATTATCCTCACAGGGTCCACTGACCACAGAGGCACCTCCCTGTTGGCCATCCTGGGAATTAGCTCTGCCAGACTTGTACTCCTCCTCCAGTGATGTCTTCCCCCATCCTGTCTTGCCATGCAGCCCCTCTCACTACAGAAATTGCAGTCTCCTCTTCATGGTTTGGCCGTCCAGCCAGATCACAAAGCTCCTCTCCTTCCAAGGAATTTGGAGTCCTTCTAGACTTGCTGGCTGGCATCTCCAGCGCCCTTGCCACTTCCAAGTAGCTGGTAAGGGAACCCAGGCCCACCCTCGCTTCCAGCCAGGGACCTTATAACAAGCAGCCAAGATCTCTGTACTGTCTGATCCTTTATTACTGTTTCTTCCCTATCTGGCTCCCAACTCGCTCCATGCAGGGAGTTGGTACAGAATACTTCCTCCAACCCCTCCCTCAGTTTCCTGCCTTTATACAGGTGAGCCTGTTTCTTTAATTAGGACTTTCCCCTCAGTCTTCATTCTACCAGATTAATTGGCCCTCCATTTTCTGGCCTCCATTAACCCCTTTCGCTGCTGTGTGCTGTGGACACCCTATCACATGCTCCTTGCACTTCTACCTTAAAAAGCCTGAGTTTGAACTCCAGAGGACCAAATTCTACTCTCTTGTGTACACACGAGGTTCAGTTTCGTCCACAAGCATCATCTGAGAATTCCAATCATGTCTTCCTGTCAGGAGTGAGGAGTTAAGGTCCTCTGCAGGAAGGACCTTCCCCTACCCAATGGTTTAGATGAGATATACAAGGAGAATTCCCATGCAACACAAGCACTTTTCTCTGCAGCCTTTCATCCCCCCAGTACAACTTCTACAGAAGTTGCCTGGGGACTCCAATGTGGGAGTTCATACTAACTTTTATGGAAATTTATTGGAGATGTATGTTGCTCCCATGGATGGAGGCAGTAGTGAAGCTGGTACTTGCCTGTTCCTCACCAAAAAGACAATTGTGTACTCTCTATGCAGGAAAGGAAAGGCTATTGGGGTTTACTTTAAACATATATACTCCATTAAATTGTGGAATGGGGATTTAAATTTGCATTCAAACCAGAAATCCATTTTAGGACCAAAGGAAATGGATGGGCTATTTTCTTACAAAAGTTTAGTAATATGGAGCCAACTTCAATAATATGCTGAGGTTCCATACTGATCTGGGGGTGCGGTAGCTGCCATAGCATTTGTTTTTAATCCAACCCTTAATTTGTATTTACTTGGGCATAAGGTTTTTTGGGTAAAAAACCTCACTTGTTCAGATACATGGAGTGAAAATTACAGATATTTATGCCTGTATCTGTAATTTTCACTCCATGCATCTGACGAAGTGGGTTTTTTTACCCACGAAAGCTTATGCCCAAATAAATCTGTTAGTCTTTAAGGTGTCACCGGAATCCTCGTTTTTGTGGATACAGATTAACACAGCTACCCCTCTGATACTCAATTTGTATGTACTTTAATCTTTTTACATTTACGGAACTTGATTTTTCTTTGGAATATGACGAGTTTATTATTGTAGCAACCAAAGCTAAAACACACTCTTAGTGATGTTTATTTTTATAACACAGCCTTGGAACATTGACATGAACATTTACCAGCCCAGCCACAAGTGTTGCTACTTGCATTTTACCATAATAGTTGATAATAATGAAAGATGGATCGTCCACCAAGATCCAGGCATGGAGGGATGCTGTGCATAAGGGATTTCCCCATTCTGATGTGGTGGGGGGAAGGTTCAACTCCCTCCACAGTATACGTGTTTATTTCATATTTTTCCATAAAAAAACGTGCTTAGGTAAACTAAGCTTTCTTATTAAGTACTTGAAAAGTCAAACCTTAAGGTATAGATTCCTAAAAAACCCCCCAACCTTCCATGCACTAAAAAATAGATCATATTAGTGATCTCATATTTCACAAATTGCAGTTAAATATATTTACTCTAGTGTAACATTAATCTTGAAGTATGATGGCTTTGGGATATTTTCTGACCAAGTTCTTTCTACAGAAATCAGAAAATGAAAATAAAAAATAGAAGTAAATAGCTAAGTAACTGGTTTTAAAAGTACCAGCTACTAGCAAATGCACAATTCCAAATTATTTTGAAGAGGATGCTTTTAATATGAATATTATGTGCAAGAGTGATCTAGGGGTTTTTGTTTGTCTTGTTTTGTTTTAGCTAGAGAGAGAGAGAATGAA